GCCCCGCCCTCCGGAATCCCCCGTACCCCGCCCTCTGCGTTGGCTCCGAGTCCCGGGTTACCCAGTCCTGACTCACTGGTGCGTTAATTCACCCATTCATCATCCGTCCATCCATCCATCCATCCATCCATCCACCCACCCATCCATCCATCCACCCATCCATCCATCCAATCACCTCTCCATTCATTCATTCATTCATTCATTCATTCATTCACTTTCCCCCCTTCCTTTTCCATTCATGATCCCATGCAGTCTTTCCTTCCTTCACTTCCTCCATTCCTTCACTCATTGTTTCCATTTATTCATTTATTCATTCGTGTGTTGTTAAAGAAATATTTATCAATTGTACAAACTAGACTTCTTGTGCGGGGGGCATGTGGCTGGTGGGATGGGGTGCACTGCTTCCTATCTCCTACCTATTTCCATTTCTCTTGCTTTCTCATTTACCAGTGCCCCGGAGTTTGGGTAGGGAAAGGGGATATCCATTGTCTTTATTTTATAAAAATATATATTTTATTGATTTTTTACAGAGAGGAAGGGAGAGGGATAGAGAGTTAGAAACATCGATCAGCTGCCTCCTGCACACCTTCTACTGAGGATGTGCCCGCAACCAAGGTACATGCCCTTGACCTGACCGGAATCGAACCTGGGACCTTTCAGTCTGCAGGCCAACTCTCTAACCACCGAGCCAAACTGGTTAGGGCTCCATTGTCTTTAAAGGAGTGGTCCTCCCTTTGGGTCCTGGGTAGAGGGTCTCCTGTGTCAGCTCCCCAGATCACATAGAATTGGGCATGAGGATGTGCTTTTCAAAACTGGGTTTTCTCAGGCAGACTGTTGTCTAAATGAAGGAGGTTGGCCATGCTTTTTTGTTGTCTAAAAGAGCAAAGTGCCCCCACTGGTGTGGCTCAGTGGTTGAGCATCGACCTATGAACCAGGAGATCATGGTTCGATACCTGGTCGGGGCACATGCCTGGGTTGCAGGCTCATGCAGGAAGGAGGCAGCCGATCAGTGATTCTTATCATGGATGTTTCTATCTCTCTCTCCCTCTCCCTTCCTCTCTGAAATCAATAAAAAATATATTAAAAAATTAAAAAGCAGAGTGGTCATTCTTCACAGGGTGAAACACTGGCCTCTGTGGTTACAACATCTGGTTACCCCCATCTATCAGGGAAGATTACTTCCTCGTGGTGGGGCCAGGATGGGGAGGCCCCAGACACATTGGGCCACTCTCTGCTGGGGTGACCGCCCCAGCTCCAGCCCCAGTGCCAACACATCTTTCCTCCTTCCCTATCCCTGCTTTCCCTGGGCCCAGGGAGGCCTTAGGCAAACCACACCCACACGTTGAGGTGCAAACCAGTGCCACATGATTTACCCCCTACCCCAAGTGCCATCAGCCATGGACCAACAATGCCTTTTGAAGATCATCCACAAAGGAGCATCTTTTCTGTCTCTGGCATTGGGGGAAGAACGCTGGGCTGCGTGTAGACAGCTGCTAACCAGCTTCCCTCCTGCCCTCTCCCATACAACCTCATTTTATTCATCCATTTGACAAACATGTGGAGCTTCTCCTACATATATGACACTGTTCTCTCTGCTGGAAGCAAAACTGAGTATCACAGTAACTAATTCATATCCACCAACCACCAACCCCACCGAGCCCCCTGGCAATTACAACACAGTGACTGTGCTAAGACAGGAAAAGGGTGGTGTGGGGGCACACAGTGGGGAGAGGGGCAGGGAAGTTTCCATTTGAACTGGAAATGGGAAGGAAGGGGGTCTGGGGAGGAGGGAAGTACCTAGTCTCTGGGAGGAGGGGATTAGTAAGGGGGGGGGAGAGCAGATGAGAGGAGGTGACCTACTCCTCTCCGTCCCCCTGGAGGACCAGAGAGGGAGAATGTGCTGAGTATGAGGCTGTAAGAAGCCATGAGGGAGAAGCCCAAGGAAATGAAAGCATCTCCTGTGGAGTCAGTGCAATTTCAGATGTTTTCAACTTCTTCCCCTGACCCTTTCCTCTCCCATCCTCAAAAGCTGGAGTAAAAGTATAGTCATAAACCCCAGACCCAGACCACTTGGGTTCAAAATCTGGAACCATCCCCATTTTAAAGTTGGGAAGCCGGGGCCCAGAGGGGTGAGTTGACTTTCCTAAGATCAAACGAAGTGCAGAGCCAGGCTCTCCTGCCCCTAATCCAAAACTTAAAATTGTTTCCAGGGAAATTTTTTTACCTTTTCTAATTTTTTTCCTTTATGAATGCCTACAGGGCTTGGGGCATATGAGCCCTTTGCAGGAACAGGAGAACTCGGGAATGTTCAGTGGCCACATCCCTCATTCATACAGAGGTTGAATTTAAGGAAAAACCTTCTCCTTTTCAGCCCCATGTCTGGCTCTGAACCGGAACAGGTGTGTGGCAGTCCCTTTTCTGGCCACATGAGGTCAGCTTTGAGTCGCTCACTGCTTCCAGCATCTAGCCTACACTCCGGCAGGAAGCCCTTCTGGGGAAACTTCAGGAACGGGGAGAAGGACCATGCAGTACCATCTGGAAAGATGGCCAAGGGACTTTGACTGTGGACAGGGCCCTGACTTTGTTTCCTCAGCTCCAGTCTTCGAGGCTGGATCCCTCTGATCCTTTCTCTTTATCTGTTGGTGTTTTCTAGTTCTCTTAGTTGTTCTCCCACTCCCAGCCTCCACCCACTCCAGCCCTGCTCATCTTCAGGAAGCAGCCCCAGTTGCCATGGTGACCAGCTGGTCAGCTGGCTCCTTCTGTGCCCCCTCCATTCACCCCTCTTTTCCCTGGTCTTTCAAGGAAAAGTAATGTGTGTGAATGGATGGGGCGGGGGGCGTGTTTTTTAAAATCTCCTAGGAGCTCTGGGTTTGGCCAAAAGGAGTTGGGCTATCTCTCTTTCACAGCCCCCCCCCCCCACCGAGGTGAGGAAGGGAAGGCCGTGGAGGTGGGGGACAGGAGGAAGGGTATAACAACTAACTGGGGAGGGTGAGGTTTTGATCTGGGTTAGGAAAGGTCAGGGTCAGGACCTCTGCTCTGTCTACAGCGAGGACGGAACGAGGTGGAAGGGGATGAAACCAGAAGCGGAAGGGTCAAAGTTAGCTGTGAGGCAGGACTTTCTAAAAAGCATGGGCGGGAGACATGGGAATGAGTCGCCAGGTGAGATTTCTCCTCTGCCACTGGAGGGAAGGAGAACCCTGCCTCTTCAGGGCACACCCTTCGCTGTGTGGGCAGGGAGGATGGGCTCACTGATGAGGAGGATCATGCAGGCTGGGTAGTTCTGAAGCAATTGGCTGACAGAGTCACCTCCACCTCGCCGGGTAAGGGAACAGTAGGAAAATGGAGGCAGGACCAGGAGTGGGGGTGAGTGTGTAGAGAGTGGAGGCAGTGCCCCTTCTGCCCCAGCGAAAGGTGGGACCACCCCAACAGATCAGTGTGCTTGTCCTCTATCCCCAAAGATTAGATATCGGGGCTTTGCCTCAAGCTAACTTCCTACTCCCAGATATCCCCACGGACTTTGAATGGGGAAGATCCAGATTCGAGCTCTGTGACTATTACCTTGAGTAAGTCACTCACCTTCCCTCTGCCTCAGTTCCTAAAAGGTAAGCGGGGAAACAGCCACTATATGTCAAAGACTCCAATATAGCACATGACACACCGTAGGATTCCACAGTGACTGCGCACAGATTGATCATGTTCTGTCATGATGATGGGTTTCCAGGTCCCCCTTCCCATTAGACTGTGCTCCTGGAGGGTAGGACATTGTGTGTTTCACTTCTGAAAGGGCGCACAGTAGGTACCTAATACCTGTTTATTGAATGGGTGCACTCAGAAATGAATGGATGTCAGTTTCCTTTCTTCCTGTCCCAGGTGTGGCGGGGAAAAGAAGTGTGGGTGGGTGGCATAGGAGGGTAGGCTGCCTGCAGTCACTCAGCCTGGTCTATGGTCTGTGATTTTGCCTCCTACGCCCAGAGAAGGTCAGGGCCTTAGAGACTCGGGTCAAATTCCTCACTGCACAGACGAGACGAGGAAACAAAGGCTCAGAGAAGGGAAGGCACTTGCCCAAGGTCATACAACTTGGTAGTGGGAAAGCCAGGATTAAGAATTAGAACTCTGGCCCTGGCCAGTGCTCAGTGGTTAGAGCAACAGCCCATGGACCACAGGGCTGCAGGTTCAATTCCTGGTCAAGGGCGGGTACTTGGGTTGCAGGTTCCATCCCCACCATGATTGGGGTACATGCGTGCAGGAGGCAACCAGTCGATGTGTCTCTCTCACATAGATGTTTCTCTCTCTCCTCTCCCTCCCTTTCACTCTCTCTGAAAAAAATCAATGGAGCCCTAACCGGCTTGGCTCAGTGGATAGAGCGTCAGCCTGCGGACTCAAGGGTCCCAGGTTCGATTCCGGTCAAGGGCATGTACTTGGTTTCGGGCACATCCCCAGTAGGGGGTGTGCAGGAGGCAGCTGATCGATGTTTCTCTCTCATCGATGTTTCTAACTCTATCCCTCTCCTTTCCCCTCTGTAAAAAATCAATAAAATATATTTTTTTAAAAAAATCAATGGAAAGGATATCCTTGGGTTAGGATTTAAAAAAAATTAGAACTCTGGTGTCCTGATCTCCAGCACAGGACAATGTACACACTTCTTTGCTTCTCTGGGGCTGTACTTCTAGGGAAGGAACATGGTCCGTGTAGGCTGGTTCCAGTGTCCTCTCTGCCCTCTGCTAGTCCTTTCTCACGTACAGCTCCAAGCCTTTCCCTCTGCCCTACTCCATCCAGGTTCAGTTGGGTCTGGCTCCTGCCTTATCCTTTACCACCCAACTGGGAATAAGAATCTTCCTAGGGTTCCAGGACTCACTTTCATAGATCTTTCCAGGGTGGTGTGTGTGTGTGTGTGTGTGTGTGTGTGTGTACACACGCGCGCCCCGGAGCATGGTTAGTAGGGCTAGGAGTGGGGAAGGGGTGCGGGGAGCCCCTGTTGCTTCTCCTCTTTTGGGGGTGGTTATTCGGTAGGCTTGGGGAA